TAGTTAATTCTTATATCAAATAATTACAATTTAATCTAAGCTATTCTTCGAATGTAATTGCGTATGTACTTATGCAATTGTAACAAAATTTCTGATAATGAATTAAGCAACACAATATTGACTAAGATAAAAAAAAAATTAAAGATAAAATTTGAAAAATTTGAAGAATTGTTTTGGAATAAATTCTTGGATTAAATTACAAATTATTACTTACAATTTATTAATGGAAAGTTAATAAAAAGAGTATAGAAATAAGAACACACCGTTCTCAATTTATATACATACATACTTATACCTCTAGGGTTTTCTATTAGAATATTCCTTAAAATTTTAAGCGCTTTCTAATGCAACAAAAAAAATTAATTTTTCCAGTAGTTTTAATAAAACCCTTAAAGAACATTATAACTAACCAATTGTTCCAAAAAATTTTCTGACAAAATTAGATATCAACACTTATTCACCTCTCGAGACCATAAAATTTTCTAAGAAGGATAAGTCATGTTATACACTTTTGAAATAAAAATGTATTCTATTTTTTTTCGTTTCGTTTCAAGTTGAAAATGAAACATTTGCACACATTTATTTCCACAATTCATATTATATAAATGTTCATGTTAGATATTTTAATATAAGTGAAACGTACGTATAAAATCATTTAAAACTAGATAAGTGAACTTATTTTGTCCTGATTGATACTAATTGCATTTGGAAAAAGTGTTTGTCTTATTTGATATAGAAAAATAATTTAAAATTTTAATGTTAAGTAATATTTAGTAGCAAAATTTTAAAATGATAACTTTTTAAACCATCTTCTCTATACTTTTACAAAGCAAAAAAATTCAATGGTGTTTTACCCGAAATAGCAAAAATGTAGTTATGATGTTCTAACAGAAAACCCTAGACTTAAGTATTTAATATTTTCATTTTGTAAACAATTTCTACGTACGTACCCACATATATGTACATATAATTTAAAATTAATTTATTCTATTTTAAGCATAAACAAAAACAAAAAAAATATAAACGATTTTTGCCACATAAAACCATATTTTTATTTATAATCCATAATTCATTATTTTTATGAGTGTGCCTGTGTGCCTGTCATTACTATACAATTACAATTTTAATTTCAAAAAAAGCGTTTTGTACATATATGTATGTATACGTATGATATGCAAATATAATTGATACCTACTCATAAAAAGTGTTCACTAACCATATTACTTATATAGAGCATATACATTGTAAAAAAGATCTACATATATTGACAATGGTAAATCGTTTATTAAAGTAACGCGTTGGCGTAAGTACGTTAACCTGTACTTAAATAATATATATGTCATGTTATCATGCGTATATTATAATATCTTCGTACACGTAATAATACAGATTATGATTATAAATACATAATAATTCCTATATCGAGGCTTAGAAATCTAGTTGGAAAGTAAATAGTAAGTCGTGGAGGGATATAAGTATTTACGCTTATATAGTTTTTTGGCAAATAGACTTCAAGTGTCGGGAACAAGAAATAAAATTTTAACGCAAAAAATTCTATATTTCTTTCAGGTAATTATAATTATCCCAAAACCTAATTGCTTTTTATGTTTTGCTTAATATCTGTGAAAAATCTTCCTAACTAACTTTTTTTATCTTATTGAAGTTAAGTAAAAATGACTTGCGTAGGTAAATTTTTTTTATATTATGTATAATTTTTATTTAAACTAAAATAAAAAAGAATATACACTATATGAATAGCGCTCTCTATATGTATGTATATGCATTATTTATATAAAGTTTGTTAACACAAGTGTTATCAGCAACTGGTTGCTATTAAAATAGTCATCACAATTTTAAATCGTCATAAGATTAATTATATAAATCTTTTTTAACTTTTTTTTTTGAATTTATTAAAAAATATAAACATAAAAGCGAATTAAAAAAATCACAATTCTATAATTTTAAAAAACTTTTTTTCATGTAATATTATGGCATTTCTATAGAGATTTCATAAAAAGGCATACAACACAACATAATGCACATGATATACTTTTGAGTAAGATAATAGATATTAAATTTGCATGTTTATTTATTTTGTTTAAATAAAAATATTACATCCAAAACAATTACGTATTTTCTTATAATTTTAATTTTCTTAGTTTCTTAAAAACTTTCTATATCTCATATGATCGCACTGTCTACACATTTTTTTTATCGAATCTGTTATTAGACACAAATTCTTAAACACATACTATATTATAGTATTATCATTGATAACAGCTTTTGAATGTAATTAAGAGTTTACGTCAACTGATTATATGTATACACATTATACGTATGTAATTTATTTTAATTTTATTAAGAGTAAAACAAAATTATCATCACATTTAAAATTAATATTAAAATTAATGTTTTGGACCGTTTTTATTCAACGTTATAATTGTACAGTAAGGTATCACAATGTGTATGGAATTTCCGAAGGAGCAAATACAACTAACTTAAAAAAATGACTAACTAGAAATTTTTAAAATAAAAATAATTTTTAAAAATACAAGTTGTTGAGCATGAAAGCGATACATACAAGCCTACATATACATTTATATATTTCTATGTAGGTATATATATTTAATATTATGTATATATATATATAAGTATCATCTACGATAAATAAGTATACATACAAAAGCTCTCTGACTACTTACTCTGAATTGAGTATTTTAAACAAAAATTAAAAAGTCTTAATTCTAAATTATTTTCTTTCATATTTTCATTTTTCATTAGTACATGCATACAAAAAATTTTCTTTAAAAAAAAAAATTACAATATTTTTGTTTTATTAATGAATTTTTAATTTTCTATTCAAACTTGTATACAGTATATAGTGTATACAACAAAGAAACGTGGAACTGAAAAAAACAATAAAACAAACTTAATACCAAAGTAATAAAAGCGCTATACCAGGTTAATAATAGCTTATAGCATCAGTTAGACTAAGTATTATAAATCAAAAGATAATATGAGGTAAAAAGAGAGAAAATAACAAAACAATAATAATAAAAATAAGTTTCTTTTTGATATTTCTCTTCTTCCATAAGTTTGTAAAATAAAAGTAACAATAACAAAACAACACTCTTTTTGTTTCTTGACGTTCCGTTAATTTTTGCTAAAAGATCAGAGAACTTTTGCAAAGCAATTCAGTATTTTACGCTCGCAAGGTTATTACTAAACAAAGTAAGAAATTAAAAATAACATCGATTACAGTGCGGCAATTCGAATTCTCTAATATTTTTATTTTTCTTTTGCTATTAAAATTTAAGGAGCAAAATTTATCTGCATCATTTTTGTAACGGTGATGTAAATGTACATGCATTTCCATATAATAATATGTATGTAACTTGATAAAATGAGAAGTTGGTATTGATCGGCGTTACTAAAAAGAGAGTATTGAAAACTATTTATTATATTGTATAGGTATGTGTTTTACTTTCTCAGTTTACCTTTGCATTCGTTATTATAACATTACACTTTTAAAGAAAAACGATGCTAAAACGCCAATAATATGAAATGAATTATTATTTTCTTTTATTTATGAGAGAAGAAAATTTTTGCTCTGTTTAAAATTACAGTTTTTTGTTTGTTTTGAATATTCATATTGTCGCTCCTAAAAGAAAATAAGTAGTTACTTAAAAGGAACCTTAAAACATATGCTTAATATGTTTCCTTTCCTTTATCCATTTTTTAATTAAAGTTTACAATGTTCTAATTTCTACAAATAAAATTGTCGACCATGTGCTCCATTCCATCTTAAATAACGGTAATACTGAGGTCTAAAGCAGTTTTGAACATTTTTCCTTACTTAAAAAGTTTTTGATTTAATTCCTTTTTATTTTATCTCCACACAACATGCATACAAATGGATATTTTTTATATTAACATATTTTAAAACCAATAGTTTGTTAAAAAACCCTGTTTAATTATTACGTTTTAATACTCGGCGCTAGATGGCGTTAATAAAAAATGTTGACTTTGTAAGCGCTAACTGTTATATTTGAAATATTTGTTTTTAGGGTTATGTTATTTTTGTATAAATTCCTCAGCGATTCAGATTTTTTTTTGGGTAGTTGAAAATGTACATAGAAAATATAATTTTATAAAATTGTTATGAAGAATTTGTTACATTAAAATTGTTCCCAAACTGTTCATAGGCAATATTGCATACTGTTTATTAACTATCTGTAAAGATGAATAAATTTGCAAACTTTGTTTGAAATTCAATATTTTTTTTTCTTTAATAGTTTTTAATTAATTAATAATAGGTTCAGTGTTAAATAAATAATATTCCATTTTTAAAATTGCATTTAGGTTTTCTTTCACTGGCATTCAATTTAAAAACTCTTTATTCTACCAATAAATAAGTATGTATAGAATTTGGAGACTTTGACTGAACTTATAGTAAATATGTAACCCAATATAATAAAATTAATAAAAAACATAAACAGCAAACTTTTCATGAAAATTACGAATTTTCCAAAATTGTAATTTTTTCATGAAATTGGAAACTTCCCGTTTTTAATGTTTCTTCAGATTTCGATTTTTAAACATTATTGTCCGTTTTATTTACACATTCAAATCAAACCGTTTATATTCAGTTTTTTTTTTCTAAAGTTAAGATGCTTGCCGTAGAAGCGCTATGAAAAGTTGTTTAACTGTCATACTCACATGAATACTACACACACTACTAAAAAGGATTTAACGAATATAAGAGAATCATAATAGATAATAATAAAACACTTCTTATACACTAAGCAGCTATTTATTTTAATTCTTTTTTGCTTTTACTTTCTTTCTGTCTATTATTTGTGTTGTGAATGCTATGCGGCGCGAATTTATTAGAGAATTTAAAATTGAAATCGAATATATAGGTAAAATAAATAAAAGAGTTTGTATATAGCATAGCAAGTAAAAACAAAAAACTTCAGTCAGCTGTTTAACACGTTTGGGTAAAGATATATGAACGAGTGCCGGGACGCGGTATTTTCTTCATATAAAAATAAAAAATAAGAAATAAAAAAAACGCATGCGCGGTTTGCGATTTTGTAAAATAAAATTTCTATTTAAATGCTGCTTGCCTATATTTTGTGCAATATTTTTTTTAAATTGTATACGAGTAGAATACGCTTCGCCGGTAAAATATTTTTTTTCGTGAATTAAATAATATAAAAATTCTGCAAAAAATTTTTCTTGTCTAATAATTTATCAAATTACAATTGCAATATGACAAAAACTGTGCCCATTGGATCTATAAAGCAAAATTCTAGTTTTGGAAATTTAAAATCTTTTGAAGAAGATGTTGCTGAGGCCCGAGTATTGGTAATTTACACTGGTGGAACAATTGGTATGATGAGAAATAATGACGATGTACTAGAACCTATAGCCGATACCTTAGTCAAAGAATTAAGACAATATCCCAATTTACATGACAAAAAGTATGCATCAAAGCGTTTTGGTGATGAGAATAATATGACGCCACTTTGTCTTCCATCGGTGCAAGGGGAAACGAGGCGTATTATATATTCGGTTATAGAATATGATCCATTACTTGATTCAAGCAATATGTCAATTAAAGAATGGAGTCAAATTGCTGAAGATATTAAACATTCATATGAATTTTTTGATGGATTCGTTGTGTTACATGGCACCGATACTTTATCTTATACAGCTTCAGCTCTATCATTCATGTTCGAAAACTTAGGAAAAACCGTAATAATAACTGGTTCGCAAATACCAATTTTTGAGACAAGAACCGATGGAAAAGATAATTTTACTTCATCATTGATTATAGCTGGAAATTATTCAATACCTGAGGTATGTGTGTTTTTTGGTACAAAATTAATGCGTGGCAATAGGACTATAAAAATGAGTTCGAATGCTTTGGATGCCTTTGATAGTCCAAACTGCCCTCCATTAGCGAAAATGGGAATTAAACTTAATATTGATTATAGGCAGATTTTTAGGCCATATAGTGTGTTTAAATTTACAGTTCATTCGGTATTAGATGAAAATGTAGGAATATTACGTTTATTCCCAAATATAACAACAGCAACATTTAAAGCCTTCTTGAAACCACCTATGAAAGGAATCGTTTTGCAGTCATTTGGATGCGGTAATATTCCATCTAATAGGCAAGATATTCTTGATGAACTAAGCAACGCTAACAAATTGGGGATAATTGTTGTAAATTGTACTCAATGTACTGAGGGAAGTATTTCAAAAAGTTATGAAACTGGTCACGTTTTATATAACTTAGGTGTTATATCTGGATATGATATGACACCAGAAGCAGCCCTTAGCAAATTGGCATATGTTCTCGGAAAAGACGAATGGGATTTTGAAACAAAGAAAAGAATGTTACAAACAAATTTACGTGGTGAAATGAATACAGGAAAAGACAATAAATTACAAGAGTACGATTTAATTGATGCTGTAGCTAGATCATTACCATCAGCTTCACCTGAACAAGTTGAAGAATTAGGGGCAACTTTATTTCCTGCTATGGTTAATACAGCTATTCTAGAAAATGATATTAATAAAGTGAATAATTTAAAATCATACGGAGCCGACTTATCTGCTAGTAATTATGATCACAGAACATCATTGCATATTGCATGTGCAGAAGGGAATTTTGAAATGGTTCAATATTTGTTATTACAAGGAGTAAGTGTTCATAAAAAAGATAGATTCGATAGAACAGCGTTGTTAGAAGCAATATCTGGTAATTATCATGACATTATTCGTTTATTAATGAAATGTGGAGCACATTTAACTGGTTCGTCGAGAGCAGTCGGTGAAGAATTATGTCTAGCTGCATCAAAAAATTCTGTTGCAAGATTAGAATCTCTTAGATTGGCTGGTGCTGATCTATCGCAAGAAGATATATCAGGAAGAACTGCATTACATTTGGCAGCATTACATAATCACATTGAGGTAATAGAATTTTTGTTAGATAAAAATGTTAATAAAACTCATTTAGACATGCTAAAACTATCACCATTAGATTATGCTATTAAGGCTGATAATGAAAAAGTTATTGAAATGTTAAAGTAAATTCATGTCAATTGAGTCTCAAACTAAAATTTAAGACGTCTATATTTTTAAAAGTACATACTTGTGTGGGTATGTGTGTATAGTAATATACTAATCAATAATATTTATATTTAATGTTGTGTAACAATAATAATGTATAATGACACACAAAGGTTTACATAAGTATTTTATATTTGTAACATATGTACATAAATGTATGTTATCTAGTGAATTGTAATTGCGGATATTCCCGTATTTTTAATTGAAAAGTAGTAAGATTGATGAATAATAAAAATTTGGTGTAATCTTAAATGTTTTAATAATATCGCTATAAACAGCGAGCTACAAATTTGTATATGTATGACATAATTTTTATTTTAATCACAATACGCATTGTCTTATTCTTAGGAATATTTTAAGTATGTAAATAAAATAAGTAAATTATGCGAATATTACTCATGTTTTATTTCTGTTCTACATAAATGCATAACTTTCAGAAGATTTATTTAATTACCTACCAAAATCTGTATGAAAAAAATTCCCACTCCCACAAAATTCCACAAAAATTGATTTATAAATATGTATGGAAATTTTGCACAAAATTTCAGTTATTATAAGTCCTAAATAAAAATAACTATTAAATCTACTTCAGATAACTGACATAATAAACAAACTATTATAGAATTCATTTATATACATACATATGTATGTGCACAGTGGAAATGATTATAAAACGATTTGCGTGTTAACAGGTCAAAATATTGAAATTGCTCAGTTTATAAATAATAATAATAATTATTACTATTATAATTATAGTACTTTATGTGAAAACTCTTTTTTGTTTGGTATATGTACATACATATGTATTTCATTTTCGTGTAACAGTAATATGCAGTATGTTACATACCTATTAATTTTCTAATTTTTACGTTCTTATGTAAATACATAATGTTTGCATACAAATTACGTTGTTCGCGTTGTCAGTGTATGAAACTAGGTAAGAAGGGTAAAATTAAAGCGACTGTTGTTTTTTAATATTTGTCCTTTTAATCGAGTTATATTTCGTTCTTACATTTTCATGTTATATTCAACAACCTGTATTGTCTTAAATTTTTGAAGCTTTGAAGCTTAACTGGGAATGTTTTGTTTAAATGAGCAATACTTACATATATGTACATACATACTATTCTTTATATACATATGTATGTACAAACGCGTCTCTTTAGCTATAACGGATTGAATATTGAAATATAATTTATGAAGTTACCTAAAACATACGTAAAAACACATCCCAGTAGAAACTGTAGATGAAGATATTTAAAATATTTATGTGTTATATATTGAAAAGCTTAATATACGTATTATGTATATACATAATTTAATGTTTTCTACTAAGAACTCATTAGCCATTTTATATTTAAGCTGTTCAAAACTACATACATATACTTATACATGTGTACATACATAATATTAGGTAAGTATGTGTATTTTTATATTTATGTTTGCTTATATAAATATTTCTTCATTTTTGTAATTATTTCTTGTAATCTTGTTTTTAATTCAGACAACATAGTTACATTAAGTAGAATGAACCTTACATAACAAAATGATAACACAGCTTACAGTCTTTAGTCTTATAAATAGTAGACAAAAATAATATACATGTTATATTCAAAAAGTATAGATTAAACCTCGGAAGAAAATCTTAATGAATTGTACACGTTGAGTTAATACATAAGTATGTTCATGTGTACAAAAGAAACACGCATAATATGCGTTTTGATACAAAAATGGAAAACCAAGAGCATCGGGAAGGCTATAGAGAAGTTAGCGACCGAGTTTCTTTACATTTTTATTGGATAATTGTGGTAATATACATAGGTTAAAATTTTACCTATTTTACAATACTACTTGGGTACATTCATATGTATGTACATATTAGAAAATTTTCCGGGATTTTCCTAAATAAATTTTTCTTAAGTTAAAATATACATATGTATTTCTATGAAATTCTCTCAACTAATTTCTATTTAACATCACATAATATAGATATAGGAACTGGCTACATTTTCCTTAAATAGTTTTCCTTTTTCTTAAATAGATTTGGCCTTTTTTCATGTTGAAGAGATTTTACCGTATCTGAATCACTCTAATTATATTCACTGTTTTTGTATTCTGAATTTCTTTTTGTATTTTGCAAAAGTAGCACAAATTTACTATTTTAATATCAGTAAAATGGAAAAAAACACTATTGTACATATTATGTAAATAACAGTATGGATTGATAACGAAAAAATGTTGTTGTCTGGTCTTATAAGCATGTAATTAAATAATCAACATCTTGTTTATATATATGTACATACATTAAGTGTTTAAATTTTTCGAATTTTCATATGAAGCGAAATTTACTATTTCCATACCTATTTACATAAACTTATGAGCAAACATAATGTACATAAGTTTATTTTCGCCGCAAAAATAAACCGTTGTTGTTTTATATTGTAAAACAAGATACTGTGAGAACCGTGAATTTTAGGTTTGTAGGTTCAATACATTTAATCGTAAAATAATATTAAAATAATTTTAAAATAATTGTTATGTTAATTCCACAAACTAATTTTATTGATTGACATTGTATAAACGTACTACATATTTATACCAATGGAAGCAAAAGTATATATATGTACATAGGTACATAGATGTGCTTTACATACGACATTATACATAAATACACACATATGACATACAAGAAAATGCAAATATCAATATCAGTTAGTAACAATAAGAAAAAATCAGATAAATCCAAAATGTGTTAATTACTGCTATTATCAGAAAATCTTATTTCTTTGAACATAAATTGTTATTTAAAAATCGTAAGAAATTCACACTAACAATATAGTGTTTACATAATTATAAATAATTATAGTATAATAATATGGATTTCTAATCGAGAGTGGTCACTCGTATCCACATATGACACCTTACACACGTTCAGTGAGTGTAGATGTTTGTTGTTTAAATTACATAAGTATATTTTTTGTTGGCATTTAAGAGAACGGCAAATTTAGAGTGTCTCTTTGGCATAAGATTAGCGAGAGGTACATATGTGTATGAAATTACACATGTCTAATAAGATAAGTGGGTCTGAAAAGCAAATTTTTTTATAAAACGGTTTTTGTTAGGTCTTTTCTGCGAAATATTTATAAATACGAGTATTAAAAATATTCTTACAAATATAATTTATGTAATAATTTCAAAGCAATTTCTAAATAATAAATAAAAATTATTAATAAAATATCAATCAATTTGAATCAATTGTATTATTTAATACCGTAATCATTTAATTTATAAGTTAACCAATGTGATACGCGGCGCTAAAATATGACCATGAAATTTATAAACTAAAGCTTGCATAAAAGTGAAACTATACATATGTATGTATGTAAATTTTTACTTTTATCATACAAAACATAAAGTGTGTATATATGCGTGTTTAAATGTTGGACTTGAAACTGAATCATCCAGTTTACTATACCCGCAATATATGATATAATAATAATATTATTGACTAATATATAGAAGATATAAGCAATTTGTTAAGACGTATACAGAGTGTTTCGCATAAAGTGGCAAATAATATATACTGACTGTACATACTTATGCATGCGTGATGCTCTCGATTTTAATTTTTTTCTCTATTTATTCAACCAACAGCAGCGTCTAATTTACTTATTTTATTCTAATGAGAAGAAAGTAGAAAAAATGAGAGAATGGGAAAGTGATCAAGGCAAAACAACTTTTGATAATTTTTTTGTATGAAAATGGCTTTATCTTAGAAAAAGATCGTGAGTTTTGGAATGTTGAAAGAGGTTATATTTGCAATATTTCTTAAATGAAATGTTGATTTTCAACTATTGCTATGAAATTATGATTAAATTATGTGTAATATTTGTTATATTTGAACAATATTTTTAGAAAAAAGCTAATATCTTGCTAATATTTCTGGAAATTTTTCCATTAACTTATCGGCAAAAAATTAAGTGTCCGTGACTCGTAATGTCTGTAACGTTTTAAATAAAGGCTCTTCAACCATAGTTAAAGTTTATATCCTGAAAATTGAATAAATTACTTTGGTATTAAACAAAAGTTTGTATAGCGGTTTTAGAACTTATCATACATCCTCATGTAAACGTGTTTACTTCATGACGTCTTTCTATTACGTCAATTTTGAATCAGCTGATATTTTTAAAATTTTGTGTGAAAATTAGATGACAATAGATGTTTTTCCCCTTCATTGTTGACAATTTGTACGTAGTAGAATAATGTTGTTTTTTGTTTATTTATTAAAATGATTATTAAAATGCAATTAGCATCGAGCATTTAGAAAATATTTTTAGAAGTAAATATTTATACAATAAACTTGTAAACAATAAGTAATTTTGTTAAAGTAAAATGGACGAACATACTATTTCTGATACATTACAAGAACCGGTAGAAGCTGGATTGCAAGGTGGTGAAGAATCTTTAAACTTGCATGAAAAGCCCCATTTAGAAGCTCATACCGAAAATTTAAATGAAGTTAGGAAGCCTTCATGTAATAAAATTCTATTAACTCAATTGAATGGTACTGGATATTGTTTCAATGCAAATGGTAATCATTTTTAATGTCCAAAGAATTCGATAAATTAATGTATAGAATACCGTTCATAATTAGATTATATGACAATAAGAAAAGATTACAGAATCACTGGATCGTTTATTGGAACAAACCATGTAAAGGGTTATGTTCGAAAAAGTCAAAGTAAAGATCTACGGAAAAAATTGGATTCGAAGTGAAAGTAATTTTGATTTATCTTAATTTTTTAGAGCTTCCTGTAGAATTCAACGAATATGAGATGCAGCTTTTGCTTGATGAAAATATAGCTATTTTAGTATCAAAGAAGGAAGCATTTGAAAGAGGCGCTGATAAAAAAACTGAAGAAGAGATATTGACCAAATTGGAAGAGAGAATTCTGGCGCAAGGATATGCCCTTAACGAAAAGAAAATACAGGAAACTATAAAAAACATAAACCGGGTTATGGAAGGAAAACGCAAAAAATTAATTCAAAGCGGAGTTCCCGCGAAAGGTATAGTTAATGTGTTGAAATTTTGATATTGTTTAAGCTGCACACCTTTACTTTAAAATTACATTATACAATTACGTAAAAAATAAATTGCAGATATTAAACTCTCAGAAGACCAAGTTATTCAAGAAATGAGATCCAGTATGAAATTTGATCGAAATAACGCTCAACTTGAAATTCCTAATCAATGTCTTTATAATCACGGTATGCTGAATTTTCTAATTAAAATAATATAAATACTAATATAATACACACGCATACAACAGAAGCCCAAGTTGTAAGTTTTCAAGGAAAAGATACTTTAGGTTATGAAATATTTCGAGATATTTGGAAAAGAGGAAATGTGTATGTGACATTAGGTGGAAATTTTGGCGGAAATTTTCTGATATACCCCGGGGATCCTTTAGTTTTTCATGCTTCGCATGTTGTACATGTTTTGCAAAATCCAGTCATTCAACCATTACATATGATATCGAAATGCCGATTAACAGTAAATGTTAATAAAATTTGTATTTTGGCTTATAAAAATTCAGAAAATGATATAAGATATCAAACTGTTCACTGGGAAGGAAGTAAAGATAAATTGAATATTGCAAGTTGCAAGCTAAAGAATGATCGGAGTTCTGATGAAGACTCGGATGGGTAATGAAAATTTTTATAACAGATTTTTAAATTATATATGTATAACAACATTTTATTAATAGTGACCATAATATATATAATTTTAGTATTTTTATTAAACTTGTGATGATTACATTAAATTATCAATAAATTTTCATAATTTTTCAAAAAATAAGTTTGTTTAGATTTGAAAATTCTTAAAAATTTTTTTTTTTAAATAAATTTGTAACATTATTTTCATGGTAGATAATGCACAAAGTATACATATTTGCTTTTAAATGTAGCAGCAATACTGAATGCAACAAGTTTTACAAGAAAATCTTTGTATTATAAAAGTTTTGTTATTTAATAGATTTCTTCTTGTAAGTTATACTTTTACATATATATTTTTACATAATTTATTATATTTTAAAATCACATAAATTTTTATAAGTTTTTGGGTAATACGAAAACAATATTTAAGTGTTTATTTTGGTAAAATTCTTACTCAGTAATTTTTAAAGATTTACAACATTAAAAGTTACTGAAATTTTAATATTCACGGTACTTGAATTTTTGAAGCATAAAAATTTGTTTTACTATTTGTTTCAACTTTACACTGATATCAGTTTAAAAAGGCTTCTTTTATTTGGTTTATTCCCAATTTCATACAAATAAATATTCAATGACTATTTTTAATTATATTACTTGAAATTTGGTGGTGGTCCCTGAAACATTTAAAAAAAATATAATTAATTTTAATTTATTGAATAAAAATAAGAAAAACTCTTGTCCTACATTCATGCAAGGTGGAGCAGCATATTCTCCACTGGAATTTGCATTTTGCCCAGAATATGCACCAAGGTTTTGATTCTGTTGTGTTGGTGATCCACTAGTATTACTAAAATTTGAATAAGGCGGGGGAGCACCACCACTGTATGTATTGTATCCAGCGTTGTTTTGATTATAGCTTTGAGCACTTAGAGCTGCCTCCGCTTCTTTTGAAGCTTTGAAAATATTTTTATTAGTGTATGTTTTTGTCATAATAAACAAAACGAGAAATAAAATTATGTGATGTTATAAATTATAGGTTAGTACAAATAAAATTCGATTTCGAATATTTTAAAAATGATCTATATAAAAATAAATTATATTAAACAATTAAATTTGTACGTGAATTCAAACTAATTGAAAAATAACTTAAATCAAAAGTATTGCAAAAACAAAAAAAAAAATTTTTAGAGCGGGATACAAAGGGAAATTTTTCGAACTTCATAAAATTTTCTGTTAATATGAAAAATATTTTTGTTTACTAAGCCCAAGAGGTGTATCATCTCTCAGACTTTAGGTTTATAAATTAATTTATAATTTGCTTTAGTAAGAAATGTGATCGGAAATTTCATTGTTAAGTTGTCAAAAAAAATGGGTTTGCTTACCATATTTCATTTGTCAGTTGAGAAAAATAATACGAAACAGAAATAAATTGTAATATAATGTTGAACAAAAGTAAAAACTTAAATTGTTAGTTTTTTAACATATCGGAAGCAATATTGGGAAGAAAATTAAAGGTCTATAGGGATCATAATAATAATATTCTGAAAATAAAATAAAACAGAGTAAGACTTTTTGAATTTTTTTTATCATGAGATTCATTTCGGCATGTTACTTGGTTTTTTTTTTGCTATAAAAACTGCTAACTATAAATATAACGTATAAGTATATACTTGTAGGATAACATTGTACAAATATGTATGTATATGTTTAGTAGGTCTTGATTTTGATTATGCAGTTACATCACTACCGAATACGTATTCTATTATACCACTATCGAATATTTTATTATACCACTACCGAATATTTTAGTAAGCTTTGCTAAACTTTTTCGTTTTTTAAACTCACTTGCATTGCTATTTGGAGCAGAATAGCCACCAGTTGGTATGCCTACATAATTTTGATTCGCATTTGGATTCGTCTGATTTGGATTATAAGCCGAATTATTTGATGCCCCTGGATATGAGGGATAAGAAGGAGCGCTAGGTACACTGGGATAAACTGGGTTTGTAGAAGGTATGTTGGGGTTGATATTTTCTGGTCCAGAACGATTTTGAGGACCTTGATACCCACCTGCATTGGGATTGTAAGGCCCACCAGGTTGTGCATAAGGTGAAGGGTACCCTGGCTGTTGACCTGGGTATCCATTATAACCCGGCTGCGGACCTGAATAACCGGGATACCCTGATTGATTTGGGTAGCCGGGATAACCTGGTTGAGGTCCATTCGGATACCCGGGATAACCACCCTGTGGCGCACCGCCGTAAGGGGGAGGTGCTCCAGGGTATCCTTGTTGAGGTTGCACAAAACCCCCAGCAAATCCCTGAGCCTGACCTTGTCCAGCTAATATGAAAAAGTAAACTCATTAATGTTTCTTTTTAATACTTCAATCAAACATTAGAGATGTACACAAAAAATAACATGCCGGAAAGAATATTTTACAAACATAAAGCAAATAAACAAGACTTACGTGTCGCTAGACCTGGGTATGGCGGAGGGTTATCACTCATAAACACAGAATTTGGTGGAGGACCTTGGTTGAAATTTTCATTGTTAGGAAGCCAACCATAATAACCAGGAGGAGGCTGAAGTAAAATTTAATTTAATTAATTTTTAAGCATTTTTTATATATTGATCTAATACCTGATAAGCTGGTAATGGAGCCTCGTGCCATGGACCCGAGGGTGGAGTGTAAGGTGGTGGTGCATCATTATGCATGTTACTTTGTGCAGTCTTAGCTGCACGTCGTAAGGCTTGACCAAAATCTATAGCCCCACCCCCTTTAAAGTATAACTTGAATTTGACTTCTCCAGTCCAGTTTCCATTGGGTTGAGAACGGCATTTGCCTTTGATGTAGTTAGCGCCAAATACGGGTTGCTCCAATTCGACCTTATAATAAAACCAAAAAATAATATAAATTTTGTTATTAAAATTATTGCTTTAAGATATCTGTGGGTGGGTACGTACTAAAATTCAGATGTATAATTATTGTCTAATAGTAGACTTCCTCTACTGAAAATTCGTATTGATAACTTATATTGAAATTTGTGTACCCAATAATTTATGTATCAGTATAACATAAAAATAATAATTATAGTAGTGCGTAACTACTTACTCAGCTAACTAATTATTTAATTTTCGTAAAATATAAATTAATTAGTTTTCAATCGTTTAAATGTACTTACATCATTTAAAGTAACAAAGGGAAAACTAAAAGATTGCATAGATTCACTTTGATTTTTGGCATTAAAAATCATTCTATGTGAAGTCAAATAAATTCGTCCATCCTTTGATCCTTTAAATACTGGGCTGTCTTGGCCAATAAATTCAATTGTAATTTTGTCGCTAAACAAAAGAATGCTGAAAAATAAGAACAAAAATTTTTTTTTGTTGATGACTAATCATAGGAAAATCAATTGACTGAAAATTTTGCGCATAAAATATTTCACAATTAATCCATGTACTTACTACTCTCCAGAATGTATTAGTACGCCATTATTGGCGTGAGCTGTATTTAAAGACATATTTTAATATTTTCACTTTAATTTCGAGGACAATGTAAAAACAATCGGTCTACTATTAAAATATTTTTTATAATATATTATCAAATTTTGATTTTTTCTACAAATTTCTATAGCTGACGTTTCAATAATAAAGGTTCGAATCCAAAACAAATATTTTGACAACAATCATATGACAAATGACGACACCGGTTTATTGATGAAATTGGTGCTGCCATTGAAAAGATATGATTTGGCCATCTTAGCTCAATTAGCTTAAACAATATGAATATGTATCACAGCTGACAAAAGTACTGGGAATATAATATATGTATATTTAATGAAAAATATAATAAAATATTTTTTCCAAAAATAGAAAATTTCTTTATAGAAAAAAATTAAATAAAATTCTTAATTTTTATTTAAAAAAAGGAAAAATAATAATTCTGAAATGACATGTAGCTTAAAATATATTTACAATTCTTGACACAAACGACATTTTGTCAACGAAATTGTTTTGCGCTGTTATATGAAGAACTTTGTTATTTAACAAATTAAAATTCGAACTAAATTAAAGTATACTGTGTCTAAATATGCGTACAACGTTGACGCGCAATTAAATTTATGTGCACTCTAAACCAATATGGATATCTTTCATTATTTTAACATAAAATTAGAGAGAGTCCTATTTTAATCATATGTGAATATATTCATACTTAGTTTATTTCAAATTCATTGTCAAAACAGAACTAAAGTAGCAAACAAAAACGGGGAACGATTTCCTTTCTAAATGCAAAACAACAGAGGAATGAACAAAACAGATGATCAATATTTTGCATATAAAATCACGCACATAATATGGAGACAAAATGTCAAAAAAAAAACAGCCAGAGATCAAATAGGATTTTAAGCTATTTTGCAATTTCTTTCTCTTTTCTGGCCAATCCTAATTATATGTTACGTTTATGGTGTATGAATTTTGACAGTTTAGCGCTGAAAGTCGCCCTTTTTCTTCATTTTTAGTGTGGTGAATGGTGAATGACGAATATTTCTAAAATTTTTTAAAAGTAAAGTTCAGTTCATTTTTAAAAAAAATTCTGAAAATTAAAAATTGGAACTTTTATTAAGCTTAAATGATGCTCAAAGATTACATAACTAAATAATGTATTAAATAATTGTAGACATAAAAGTTGAGATTAAAAATTAAATAAACAAAATTAAGGGTACCTAGCGCTCCTTCTTATCCCTCATATCCAGGGGCATCAAATAATTCGGCTTATGTATATAGGTACATATTTGAAATGACCCTTGATTTCTACATAAACTGGAAGATATATGTAGGTAAATGACCTTTATAGAAGGAGTTTAGCAATTATGAATGCATTTACCAAGAATACTAAAATGAAATTTTTAGAGCATTTGCGTCAAACAAGGATATGCGGGTATGCATTTGCTATACGGTTTTCTTCAAAGATATGTATGTACATGTCAAAGTATGTGAAGGTAAATATTTCAGGAAATTAAAAAAAAAATAAAAATTTTTTTATTAAGCTAGAATTATATTCATATAATTCGGTAAAAGAACAAAATTAATTCAAAATAAGAAGGTAATTATTTAGAATTTTTGAACTTAGAGAACGTAAAGATATTAAACTAATAACTTCAGTGCGCCTAGATGCCTATACACATAATGCCTATATTGCTAATTTAAATTTTGTTTTTTAGTTGTTAAATTTTTAAATAAGGAATTTGATTTTTTTATAAGTATTTATGTAGGTAGGTTGTATTCGTTTCAAATTTTTAACTCCTATAATTTTACCGTTATTTGCTATAGAAAACTACTTTCGAAAATCGATTTTTATTTTTTTTGGAATATGCGCAAATTTAGTTTTTTTTGAAGGAAGATTTCATAGAATTTTCAACCAGTCAACAAGACGTGTTTCGGTAGAAAAATTTACAAAACTATGGCAGTTATTTATTAAAAATTAAAAAAATATTATTAAAAATAAATTCGCATTAAAATAGTTAAATAATATTAAAAAATTATATTTTAAATTCTATACTTAAATTGTATATACTTAAAATAATGTGAAAAATTAACAGCTAAAATGTAGTCGAAGTAAAAGATAGAAAAAAAAAACAAGTTAAAATTTTTTCCTTAACTCAAATTAAAAAAGAAAAAGAATAATAACGATGTCATGGACTTTATATTTGTTTTCCGTATATTTTTCCTTTAAATCTAATATAAATTTAGTGTTATATTTGAAAAAAAGTCCATTTTGAATAGTAAAAGAAAAAGCAAGTGCATAATAAATTAATTAGATTGAATACTACATACATATAACCGACACATATTAAAAAGGAACGTAATTATTCAGGAAAATTTATGTACATATGTACATGTATACGTATATATAATACAGCTGCATACCTAATTAATACAAAAAATATAAAAAAATTTGTTTTTGAAATTATAAGGGAGTAATATAATAAAATATCCGTAAACATTATTCCTTTACAAATAATTCCACTAAAATTTCCACCTCACAACATGATGGATGTGGAAGGTGATGGTGGAGGCGGTGGAGGTGATGGCATTGGTCATAACGGTAGCAATATTAATGCATCAGATCGTAATACACAGGCCACAACATATGAACCATTGGATAATAATCACAGAAGAAATCACCATCGTGAACCATTAGATAGTCCTGAAATGGATTCGACTAGTCCTCCAAAGGATCGTAAGCATATGGTATATTTGGCCTTGTTAACTGCCGGTATTGGTTTCGTTTTGCCATACAACAGGTAAGTTATAAAAATAAAACGAATCAATTTTTTTTATTTTTAGAAACTATTGAAATAGGATTTTTAAAAATTTCTTCGTAAAAATATTAAAATTAGGATCACCATTATTTGTTTTTTCAAATTGTCAATGGCTATAATTTTATACCAACTTATTCTCTTCATTTAGGTTTTGGCAGCTTATATAATATATTTATATCGTACAAACCAGTATGAGTACACATTCCTATATCAATATGCGATTTTATATATAATAATATTACATATATAAGCACATTAATATTAGTAAACATATCTACACATTATATTTTTAGTTTAAAGATTAAAACTTTTGTTCCGGTTTCCTAATTGAGGCCAAAATTGTTTTGTAATCACAAAGCAACTTAGAGTTCTGCCTGATGCGTGTACTTAAATAATGTAAATAAAATGTAATTTTGTCTATATTGAAAACAATTTTTTCAATTTTTTATAATAATTGTAGTTCTTAGGTTGGTTCTAATTTCTTTTTGCTTTCTTAGATATTTTAAATGGGATTATTGGGTATTTAAATACCTAGAATTTAAGTACATAGAATTCTTTACGCTTACATTGATAATAACTAAAATTATTTTTGTAATAATAATAATAAAACTTAAATATGCATGTATTATAAGAAAAATAAATAAGGTGCTGATGTCCTCAAAATTACCAAATTACAGGAAATGAATCATGAATAAACGTACGTATATGTATATATTTAGGTACACATAATAAAATAATTAAAAATATAGAATATACTGTATGTATGTGCATGTGTATTTATATATAGAACGTCACTATGCGCTATTCTATATTCCTGATTCCTTATCCGACTAATAAAATAGATACATACATACACGTATGAATTGCACAACAAAATGTGTACTTATGAATTTATATAATATGGTATAATTTTATTTTTAGGTACTTCTTTTCGGATATTTTGTTCTTTCTTTCTATCTTCGGTGTGGTAATCAAATAAAAATACATATATGTGTATGTATGTGTTTATGAATTTGCATGACACCTTTTAAAAGGTTAAGTTTAAAAATTACATAAATTTTTTTTTATCCTTGTGACTATTCTTCTAGCAAATTTAAATTTTACATTTTTTGTAAATACATATTTTAAACCGATGAATTTGCGTGCAGGGCTATTAATTTATTTCCCCTTTGAGTTTGGATTAGATTTTCAATTTTATAGACAAATTTAAATATTTCCTACGTATTTGATTTTTTATTACAAAATATTTTGGTCGTGTGGTTTTTACTTGTATTTTAGACATTTACTCAAAATTGTTTTTTTAAAATGGTAAGAACCATTATTAGAAATGACTATGAGAAAGTTTTTTTAACATTTTTTAGGAGAAAATTGAAAGAAGGAAATTGTAATTTTCTTATATAAATTGTGTAGGTATTACATATATATGTATATATATTACATATATATATATATATATATATATATATATATTTAGGTAATAAACCTTAATCCACATAAATATTAAGTATGTTTAATTATTATAGTACATATTAAATTCCAATTAATTTTGTTTTATGTTAAGAAATGAAAAGTTGATTTCGTAATTTTTTTCATTTTATTTGAACATTATTATCTTATAAATACAAAGTACACATAACTTAAATTTTCGTTTATTTTCTTCTTATTTCGTTTATTTCCATTTTATTTATAATGTTTTTTAGCGTAATTCAATATGATATCAATTTAACCTAGTTAATTGCATTAATTAACATTGCCAAATTTTCATAATATTTAAATAGCATCATTTAAATATATTCACTGTGTCTGCGAAAATTCACCCTTTAATTCGAATTCATATTAAATGAATTTGTTCTCTTATTTTTCTTAATTATTGTTGAGAAAAGATAAATTTTGCTTTGAAAATTTATGAAAATTATTAATTGAAATTTTATAAAAATTAATAAATCGCGAAGCAGATAATGTTGTAAATGTAAAAAAAAACTTGATAAATTATAAAAGGTTATTGCAGTTTTTAAAAGGCAAGGGTTAGCCAGAATAAAAAGAGATCTTCGCAATATCTCGAATTCAATATCTTTAGCTATAAATATTGATTCATAATGAAAACATACATATTTTTAATTGTTGCCTTGTGCAAGTTTTAAAATCTCATTCGGTAAGTATAAATTGTACTTATTTAAAGAAAAAAGGGTGTGAATTTTTGTAAGTTTTTTTGTTTTAACAATGGGATGTCGTCATAGTTAGAGACAAAAAATTAATATACATTATAAAAAAGCAAACAAAATTTTAAGGATAAAAATGAAGAACATGTTACAAAAATTTTTAATAAAAATAAACAAATGAACCATTAAGGAATAATAACAAGAGAAAAAAGAAAACTATGAATTGAGTTTGAAAAACTTAACGACACCGTACAGCACGATGAAAAGTTATCATCAGCTGCAAAGTGTTTTATGTTCTTTTTTCACCCCTATAACAAAACTTAAATTTGTGAGTTTCTTATATTTCTATTAATATGTATAAATTTGTTATACATATAACAGATTTTTTCTATTTCAGTTTCATATTGTTCTTAGTTCCGCTAAAAGGATATCCTTATATAACTAGGGTTGCACTCCTGTAAAAATTATGTAAAGAAAATATAAATGCGAATATTGAAAGATTAAAAGAAATTTAATATCCTAGAAATTGGAAAAGTTTCTAGATTCATACGTAATAAACAGAAAACAAAAAACATAAAAAAGAAAAATACAACTACAAAAAGAAAATTCAAGAATGAAAGACTTAAGAACTTTTTCCGTCTTTGTGTTAATTTCATAATATTTAAAGAATAGACAGTTTTAAGGCAGGAAATTTGTTTAGCATTTAAATTCTATAAATTTTGCATACAAGTATGTACAGAAAAGGAAGTAAAAAAAGGGAATGATAAAAGAAAAATGAGCTGGAAAAAATTTTTCCTTATATAACACGTTTTTAATTTCAAAGGTTGATCGAAATATGGTTGTTTTTCCGTATTTCGTCAGTTTCTATTAAGTATTTGTAATAGTGGGTTAGTTTCGATTTAGATAAAAATATTGTGTTAATATAAGGTGTTTTTTTGTTCCATTTAATTGAAGCAAAAATTCGGGATGATTAGAAGGACTGGCCATGCTTCGTTGTCCAGATTTTAGGCTATTAGTAGGGGTTCTAACAGGGCACTGCCGCTCGATGGCCCATCTGAAAAGGATGAGCAGGGTGAGGGACTGAGTCTGCCGTTTATGCCTGAAAGAGGACGAAACCAGGGAGCACTTATTGTGCGAGTGCGAGGCGGTTGCCGGGGAGGATCTCGCAGTTTGATGTGGCTGCTATACTGCGGTTTGTCAGAGGCCTAGATATAGGGCTAATGCAGATGGGGATGATAATCACAAAAGATCGCCTATGGGTCGACGTGAGAAGGGCCTAGGGGCCTCGATCCCCGGGAAGGAAAAAAAAGACCTTATCGGAATTTAAGTGTGCACTTATTTTCTTCACCAATTATAACTACGTATTCATTTTGAAGAAAATGAAAATTTTGTTGGCAATTGTTTAACTTCCTTTAAAATATGCAAATAAACAAAATTAATTTCTATATAGAAAGTATAAATACAAAAGTATATACATATATGCACTCAATATACGTACATATGTACGTATATAAATAAAATAGTTTATTATACTTACATATTTATACATTTATATGTATGTACTATATGTTTAGTAATATCAGTATGAGTGAAAAAGTAAAGCTGTTGCTACATTAATTAAAATTGAAGGTGAAATAAATGAAACTAAGTTTTAAATTCTATGTAGTCTGATCAATAAATCAATAAAATAATTAAAACTAGTTAGATATTTTTTATTGAATTATAGTGAACACACATGACATATGAGAATTACTCACCTAAATCAATAGTGAACACAATAATTAAATAAAAGTTTTAATTTTTTTTAGTTTTTTCTTGATATTTTTTAGATTTAAACTTTAAACTTTTAATCTCCTTGTATTACAATTAGAGCATTTGAGCATTTTCTCTTCCAAGTGCCTTTTTTTAAATTATTCAATGGATGGTTTCTAGAATTGTGTGGGGCTGCTAAAAAGATTTGAATTGTTACTCTGATTATTGTTTATTTAAAAAGTGTTTTGACATTCAGCATCTTTAAGGTAGAATGCATGAATTAACAATGAAAATGACATTATTATATGAAAATCGCTCTGTTACGGTTAATTAAGTTTCACAAAATATGCACCCAATTTATGACAAACGGACTATTGCTTTAAATAAAAGTTGGAGTTTTTAAGTGTTAATCAAATATTACAATGTTAATATAAATATGTACATATGTATATAAATGTTAACATTAACGAACCTATTAATTTTTAACATGCATAGTTGAACTTTACAAAATGATATAATTAAATTCGATTTGAAAACGATGAGTAATCAATTAGAAAAGTAAGGCAAGTAAAAATCAAACTGATTACAAAATACAAGATAACAAATAAGAATTTCTATTTTTTATTATAGAAAATGTGATGTCAGAATCTGTTTGTTTATATATAAATATATGGGTATATAAGAAATACTTATTGTATAATCGTAAATACCAATGTGGTCAGTAATCTAGAGGGATTTATGTACAAATACTTGTATGAAATCGTAAAAGGATAAGGAATAATCGATATCCCATGTATTAATGCAAAATAAATTTTAAAGATTTTTATAAATTTTGTAACAAAGTGAAAGCAATAAATATATATGGATAGTATGAATAATGGAAAAAACTTTAAAAATATTTCGTTCAGTACAAATTTATTGGATTTGAACGATTGTATATAACCCAAAATTATGTTGATATATTTGTTCAATTTTGTGGTGGTATTTGAAATTGATTGTTATGTGTTTTCAAAATAAAAAATGCTTATTTGTCAGTTAATTGAATGATAAATGAATGAATGTAATCATCTATACTATAGTACTATACGTACTATTATATAACGGAATATTTTCTAAAAATTCTCATCTTTACTACTGAAATTTTCAATGTAAAATTCTAATGTATTAATATGAATAATAAATTTTTCAATGTGAAATTTTTAAACGCGAAGTCATTTCGTCTATATGCTTATGCATCTGCATGTGTATGTTTATATGTGTGAATATTGTAAGTATATACTCAATGTAATATAATATAATATTTTAAAGTACATTTGTTTCAATAAAAAACTTTTTCGTTCAACGACTTATGTACTTAAGTATTTATTTATAATATTCCGTATTATATTTTTGTTATAATAGAAAGGAAAAATAGGTTTCGTACTTGAACTTACCAAGGGCATTAATAATTTTATATGTACACATTATGTGCATACATTTATGTATGCTTGTTTATAATTTTTTTCATTTTTTATTTAAAAAAGAGCATGAAATTATGTAAAATTATTCCTAAGAATAAAAGAACGATAAGTCTATGAATAAATAGGAATGGGTAAGCAATAAAAGAAAAATGGACAAAAAAGCAAAAGAATAAAATAATTACGGGTAGGTAATATTAAAATCATACATACATTACATATATGTGTACCTATATATACGTTAAAAAAAATGAACTTTCCAATCACAAATCCAATCTCGGAAACAAAAGTTGAATAACGGGATTAATGAGACAAACAGTTAATGAAAAATCATAATTTTTTTTTCTAAACCAGCGTAAAACTTTATGGATTCAAATAATATGTAAAAATTAAAATATAAATGTCGAACTTAAAATTTTATCTTGGAATTGACACTACATAATATGTATGTATGTATGGTATTTAGATAACTACATACAAACTAGTAAAAAGTGAATTTTCATATGAAATACTAAGTCTTATAAAATTGCAGAACTTTTATATAAAAATAAAAACCATCTATCGAAATAAATTTGCGTAACTGCTTTTCTCAACTACTCATTTATCATCGTTAAGGTGCCATATACCTCTACATATGGTGGAAGGCGTATAAAAAGCTACTTCCCCTTCTCAACAAATACAAAATTAGTTCGTGTGCAAGGTGAATAAAACGTATGTCAATGGTTCAGAATGAAGTTGGAAGTTTTAGAATATCAATTTCTGAAAATTGTCACGTTGTTTACATATCTACGTGTAATAAGTACATAATTATTACTCCAGTTCTTGCTATATCATGTTAAACATAAAATTTTCATAAAAATTAAATCGTTGTTAAAATAGTATGGATCTAGCTTCCTAATGTTTTTGTTTAATAGGGTCTTTATAAAAAGCTTGAATGATAACAATAAGCGCAAATTGATTTCAATACCAATTGACAAAATTGAGTGGCTATAAAAAAATGAGTGTGTTGAAAGTTTATGATTTTAAAATTGGAAGCGTTGTATAAAAATATTAATATTTGCTTAAATTTCTTGTGATAATTGAATATTGTTCCTAATCTATTTTATTTAAATATAATCTAAATAATTTTTATTTAAATTTCTGTCTTATGAACTGCAAAGAGCATATCTTAAGTATGCTGCTGTAAATTTCTTTCAAAATATAAACAATATTTTTATGTCAGAAAAATAATAATGTGCTGAGCTTTTATAGCTATTCAATCCTGCGGTTTGAAAACTCAACATACGAATATTTTCAATATTAAAAGAATGTTAATGAAGTATTTAATAATAATAAAAAAAAAACAAAAATAATAAGCTTAAAGGTCAAATAACTACTTTTTTATCATAATCTATTCATAAAGATTCTGCAATAAAAGTGCTTTCTTCACTTGAATGTTGAGAATTTCTAGATTTGTTTATCTATATACGTATTATATGTAATAACAACTTTTGTCCCTTATGAAGTCTTATGATGCAAATATTGAATAATTTTTATAATACTTATTATTTTACTTACATCTGTCGTAAATTATTTCAGTTCTTTAATGTATATCATGTGGGAATTTTTTAATACATATTGTTTTATAAAGAATGAGTCCAGAATCCCAATGATAAGTTGGTTTGAACAAAACCGTTATTCATTGCATGTTCACATTGATTTGGTTAAATTTTTTAGATTTTTTTTAAATATAATTTTTATTCGTTTAATATTCCATGTTAAAAATATATATCAAAAGTTTGACTTTGTAATTAATGTTAGGGCGAAAGGATATTTTATATACATAAAATATTATTCCTAAATATTTTATACTTTGGTTATAAAAAAATTAATTTTATTAAATTATTTTTACTCCTTTTTTAAGCTTTATCATCGCCTCTGATTATTGGCAGGAAAGATTTCCAAGGCATTCTGTAGCACTAGATATGTCAATGACTTATATTATTGTAGCATTTTCAACAGTTTTATTAAATAATGTTTTTTTGTCATTGGCACCTTTCCGAATAAGGATATCATTTGGTTATGCAATATCATTTACGACATTAATATTTGTAGCATTTGGTGAAGTAGCTTGGCATGTATTTTCAGCGAATACAGCATATTCAGCTAATTTGGCAGCAGTATCACTGGTGGCGATTGGTTGCACAGGTAAATTTTTATTAAAATATGATGTATTTCCAAAATGAGTAAAAAAAAAATTGTTTTTTAACTGCAGTACAACAGTCTAGTTTTTATGGATTTGCAAGTATGTTGCCAAAACAATATACACAGGCTGTGATGGCTGGTGAAAGTTTAGCTGGTTTTCTTGTATCTTCCAATCGTGTTGTGACAAAATTATTAATACAAAGCGATCGTGTTTCAACGGTTATATTCTTTTTGACTTCAACAATTTATATTGGATTCAGTTATGTATTGCTAACAGTTAATATGCAATCACCATTTGTTAGATACCATATGAAGGCTTGTGCTAAGATCGTGTTAAGACCCGATGAAGATAGACTGGTAAGTGATTTTTTATTTTCTGTTCTTATTCAACTCAATAGATTTGTTTTATTTGTTCTTTTTGAATTTTGAAATATAATATATGTTCTTTTTAGAATGATACTATCGATGGAGATGGATCAACAGCAAAATATGGCGTTTTGTCGTTAGATTCAAGTCCTCCGCCGAAAACCGAATCCACAACAAATGTTGCGCTTAGTTTCAGGTTATTTGATTTAATTTAATAACTGTTGCTAATGCTTATCTTTTAATATCCGATTTTTTAGTAACCCAGTTTATGAATTATCGAATCCAACAGCTGGTGAAAGCGTTCTGGAAGGACTAAATAATTTGCCCGAATTGATACCAACACAACAGCCGTTACAACAACAAGACACACCAAGCGTTGCTTACAAAGTTGAGCATATTTTAACTCCTGGTCAATGTGGTCCTAGTCGACTAAGTGATTTAAAGAGTGGTTTTCAATCCAGATGGCGTGTTGCACAAGCAATTTATCCTTATATGGTATGCATTGCTTTGGCATATTGTGTAACACTTTCTTTGTATCCTGGCATTGAATCTGAAATTGTTTCCTGCAATTTGGGTAATTGGATGCCGGTACTTTTAATGTTTGCTTTCAATACATCTGATGTCATTGGTAAATTATTAGCAGCTGTACCATATCCATGGTCAAGACGCCAATTAATTTTAATGTCAGGTTTAAGAATAATTCTTGTTCCATTATTGTTATTATGTTGCACACCGCGTGCACAACCTGTTATTGCTGGTGAAGGTGCTGCGTTCGTATTCACAATTGCACTTGGTATAACAAATGGTTTATCGGGTAGTTTACCCATGATGCTGGCCCCAGCCAAAGTTCCAGGAACTTTAAAAGAAGTAACTGGCAATATCATGACTTTGTCATACAATGTTGGTTTGACTTTTGGATCTCTAATTGGATACGTATTTGAATCAATGCTAGGACCACAGATACAAAGTAGTGAACTATGTAAGAGTTTATTTTTTACGACGGAATCAAGTTATGTTCATAATACAACTGTTTTGCCGGTTGCAAGTAGCACATCAATATTAACCACAACCTTATTACATAATACAATAACAACTCCAACGCAATCAACGGCAGCCGTTGCAACAGCAGCTCTAACATCTTCAGCATCATCAACAGCTGCAGTTACAACAAGCACCTTCACAACAACTGTGGTTACAAGTTTGGTAACAGTATTAACTTCTTTGGCGTCAAGTACAACAAATGCTGATTTATCTGGCTCATCACCTATAACAACACCAGCCACAATAAATCCAGTACTACCAACATCATCATTTTCAAATGACACTCAAGATTTATTTACTAATATAATTAAAACAACAGTTGCGGCATCCTTCGGAAGCGAATCAGTTTCAGATTTTAACGATCCCAATTAAAAGATCGTTGCAAAATGCTGTGTTTTTCGTAATATTAGAATTTAAATACAAAATCTATTCGAAAAGGTTATTACTTATTATAAAAAAAGAACACTTAAAGATAATAATTTTTCCCCTAAAAAAAAAGAAAATTTTTTTTATAGAGAAAATAAAAATTTTCAAATGTAAGGAATATTTCTTAAGTAAAATATAAGTTACATGTATAATTGTATAGTGTATTAATATTAGGCGAATATATAATTAATCTAGAAATGACGGAATTGATTAACGTATGAATAGTTTTGCCCTATTATGAACGAAATTTTAAGTTAGGAATGATTAAGGTACAGTACTATCTAACTAAACAAAACACATCCAAATTTAATAACTCTGTTACAACGTGTAAGGTAAATGCGACTTTAAAAATAGAAAATGTGCAATGGTATCTTTAATTATTACATCAAATATGATTATGAAAATACCGTAAATATCTAAATTTTTTTTTGTAAAATTAGAAAATGAAAAACGTTGTTTTCAATGTTGTCTCGCTATAAAGCAAAAAAATTTAATAAAATTTTATGAACGAAGAATCCCTTTTAAAGGCAAATATCGCAAAATTATTACACAATTTTTATTTTCAATAATATTGATATTTCAAAATCTTTTACTCTATTAAATAATAGGCCTTTAATCAGACTATTATGTTCTGTGAACCCTTTCTTAATATTTTTGCTTATTCTTTATTGCTTTAGAAGTTAAAGTTTTACACCGTAATTGGTGTTTCTCCAATCTTTTTAATATAAGTAAATTTATTTCGCATTGTTGTCAGAGTTATTTGAAATAAACAAGCAGTTTATAAAACACTCAATGTCATCATTTTCAAATTAAAAATTAAATAACTAAAAAGTAATAATTAAAAAATAATAACCAAAATTATAAAATTAATAAAATGGAAAACTATTGTTAACAATAAACGATTTTTTTTACAATAAATTTTTTTATTAAAATTTTTAATTCTAATAATAATTTTTGCAAAAAATAATATATGAAATACTTAAATTATTAAAATTATTTTTTATTAAAAATTACAACTTGAAATTAAAATGATACCGTGATAAAAACTACTCTTATACACATATACACGCATACATATAAAATAGAAAAATGAAAGTATTAAATACATGCAGGCACCTTTAAAACATTTTATTAGTGAAAAAATATTCTAAAAATTAAAACAAAAACCTAAAGTATTTAAAGTAACAAATTTTTATTTTGCTTGTCTCAATTTACTGACAATCTAATAATAATTATAACGCACACACAATTTAACAATTTTTTGAAAAAAAAATTAGATAATTTTAAAAGTCTATTGAAACATTTAAGTAGAAGTATTAAAAAGATTTATTTGACAGACCTTTAGTGGAAACTTCCAATATTATGCCAAATTCCTTTTTTGTTACATTTTACGTTCCGTATCATATTCCGTATTTTACGTTTATATAGAAATGTAGTGATTGATTTTAGTTTAGTATTAAATTTTAAATTATATAAAAGGGGAACTAAAAATATTTATATTAAACCATTTTGTTTGATGTATTATTTTCATTCATAATTTCTGAAAACTAACACCCTTAGAATTGGTTGGAAAGCATTATTATTGTTTAGGTTTTTTCTTCTAAGAACATTACACAGTTAATATAAGAATAGATTATCTAAAATAGAGATTACCATGGCAATTATTAATTTTTTGTTTAAACAGATTATATTATATTGTATAAGCGCATTTTGTATACATTTCATACATATCTTAATTAAAATTATTAATAAAATATATACATCTTTAATATCATGTTTCAATTCGTGAATGAGTTAATTCACAAATGATGATTAGCATACATGATTTTTGAATCATTTAAAAATATAATTTTTTTTTAGATGCAAGAGTGTAAAGTAATATTTTTGTAAACAAAACTAAACATTAAAAAAAAATAGATGTTTTTTTAAGTTGTGCATTATTTAATTTAAAAAATAGAATTTATGAAAAAATAGAATTTCTTTTTATCTTATTGCTGGTCTATAGACGGTACAAAATAAAATTCTACATTTACATCACATTTTACAATTGTATCTACGTTATTTAATATTTACCACTTTATTTAGTTCTATTGACAAAAATATTAATTTAAATATTTATAAAATCCAATTATTAAACAATATAAGAAAAACAAGACTATGAAGTCAATTATACTTATAAATTTGATTTACCAATTGCTAATGAAGTAATTTTTAATTATTTAGTCTGCAATGATAAGTAAATCCATCAAGTGACGGAAAACATACTAGCTGTAATGAACGGCACCATATTAAAATTAAGTAATTTTTTGCTGATTTTTGCATCCTTATGAATATATTTGGTTTTTAAATTAAAGGTAACAACTTTATGAAATTTTAGTTTTGTTAATGAAACTTGTGCTCTTTTTTTTAATCAAATTAAAATAAGTATAGTTGGCTCCTAATACTGTAACTGATAATATTGTAGTAATGATAACAATTTTTTAAAAATACAATTAAAAATATAGCAGTGGATACTAACAAAGTACATGATTGGAAAATTTTAAACGAAAAATGAAAAGCAAAGGTTAAAAATTAGATAAATAAAATTTAACATGTTTAAAGTTAATTAGAATTAGAGTACGATTAAGAGCAAAAAAGAAACAAAATATACAAAAAGAAATGTTAATAAATTATTTTTGTTATAATTACTAATATGGTATTAAAATAATATTCAACATATAAGCACATAAATTAATATTTTACTTAGGGTATTTTAATTTAATTTAGAATTTAATGGTTTTTCATATCCGTTTTTCATCTTTTAAATTTATCTTTAACATTTTTTGCATATATTGAAATTAATTGAAATGAAGATTCTAAAACTTCTTCTATGGAATTGGCTATTGTTATTATCGTTTTAAAATGTGTGTTGCAATTACCAGAATTCAGAATACTATAAATTTTTGCAGAACACCATATATTATTTCTGTGGGTTTTTATGTTGAATAAAATAAAATCATTAGGTAATTATAAAAAAATAATTTTATACATTTTTAAAATTTATTGTTTATACATTAATTATATAATAGATTAAACGTGCAATATAATTTAAATTTTAAAAATTTTAACTTTTAATTAAGTAAAAAATTATTTAATTTTGTTTTTAATTCATAAACATATTAGAATAATAATATAAAATGTATTAAAATATTTTTTTTATCGTAATATTGTTAAATTTGTTTGTTATTTGTGATTCATTATAGTTTTATGAAATGCATAATATGTAGGTATATAAAATGTAAATATATACATATATTCATATATTTCTTGTGTACAATTTAAGGGTATATAAAATCTATTTCATATCGCATTTAAATTTATTTCAGCTAAAGATTTTATTAATTTTTCTAAAGCAGAGAAATGTATGTGGAGGAAAGATTTTCATCAGAAAAAAAATTTGGATTCTTTTGAAATGTAATAGCAGTGGAATTCATAACCAAAGCAAAATTAGCAAAAATAATTTTATATACTTTTAAATGGGACACAAATATTGTATAAGTCGCAATTTTGTTGCAGTCATAATATGTATCAATTGCATATAATAATTATTTATAAGAATATAACAATTATTAAGATGTGACAACAATGTCAGATATAAAAATATGTAAAAAATATATATAAAATATTAAGTGTTATACTTTTTATACAAATTATAATGCAAGACATCTTCAAATTACAAAGTGTATTTTACTGAATTTTAAACAAAAAATTAACAAATTGTATTGAGGTAATTTTATAATTTTATTTTTTTCTTCATATTGAGATTGTATAACAATTATAGGCCATAATTATTCAAATAAATAAATTATTTTGCGAAATAAATTTGTCGGACAGATTTACTATATTTTCGAAATTTAAATTAAAAAATGTGAAATAACTATGATTATCGGGTTAAACTTTAAGAAAACGTCAACAATTTAAACAGTAAAGCATAAGTTTATTAATTCTTATATTATATGTTAAATTATATTGAAAGTAAGTGTACGCTTCTAAGAAATAATTTACAGTTTCTCCAAAGAATGTCAAACAAAACAAACATGTAAAAATCCAAATCAAATTTAAATTGATTATATAATATTTAATAATCACTAGCTTCTATTATGTTTACAAATTAAATTTCACTATAATGCAGACAAATGTATTCCAAAGCTTTATTTTTTGCTTATCTTAGGGCCAATTTAAATTGAACAACAAAATTTAAATTGAAATGAATTGAAAAATTAGACTTACGAGTATGATTTACTTTCAAAAAAACTACATTAATTTTGACGCATTCTTAATTTTATTTCTTCAGGTAATTCCATATTGAGGAATTATGTTTGTGTGTGAATTACAGTATTTTGTTTAAAATAAATTATTTTCCTTAAATATACAAAAATAATATTAACTAGACTGCGTAATATATACATAAACTGTAGTTTGTGTAATTAGTGAATTTACTGACAAACAAAATTTATGTAATATACGGAAAACTTATATAAACAATTGAAGATAACCTCAAATTTATTAAAATTTTTGCAGATCCGACATTATATTCGATGTGTTTCGTAAAATAAATAGCATACAACATTATCTATCAACAAAAATTAATAAAAAATTGAGAATATTCAAAATATCAGATTTTTTTTTTAAATATTTCTTTTAAATTCAATGAAATAACAAAGTTAATAAAAATTTATTAAAAACCGTAATATGAAATTATTATTATAATAAATTTATACTAAGTACATAATTTTACTATATGAATTATAAAAATTGATATTTGAAAGCAAGTAATTCAGGAAAAAATAAAAATAACGAAAATTTATCTTTATGTATATTTTTGTAGGGTGTAATAAATAATGTAAAATAATTTATGTAAAAAATAAAATAACTAAAAAAAAGAAAAAAACATATATCTAATAAATTAAATAAATGCCTTAAGTTATTAAAATGGTGACAAAATACAAAAAAATTATTAGTGTTTGTTTTATTTATAATCTCAATTAAACTTGTGTGCTTTGGAAATATGGTTATGATCCGCATTGGATTGTGTTGAAGAAGTAGAAAATCATATTGTGCCGAAATTCACAAACATATTGTGTTGAAGTAGAAAAACACATTGCGTGAAAACCGAAACACAATGTGGCAATATTCATATACTGTTGGATATGAATAAAATAAATAGTTTATAAAATTAAATAATTTCAAATTGTAAAATATTTTTGAAACAACTGAATCGTGAAACGTATTTTGTTATAATATTATGTACAGAGTTGTTAAAGTTATTTGGAACACGGATTCAGAATATTTTATGAAATCTGAAGTTAGTTATCTTGGTTTTTTTCAAAATTTAACATTTTGATTAATAACTGCAACTTCAGTATAAATTTTGTCAAAAACACATTTTTGTAAAAGCATTACTAAGGGAATATGGTAACACTTTTGTTTGAATAACGGAAAATCATTCCTCTCTCTCCTTTCGATACTATTTTATAATAATCAAAAGTCAATTTTTAGTCACAAATCACTATTGTAAAAAATTCATGCTTTGTTTTAAAAAATATTTAATATTGAAAATACTGCATATTTATGATTGGTATAACTACTTTCATCAAATTCTAAATTAATGCAAAATACATAAAGTTTAGTATTGCACAAATATAAAACGCATGTTTGCAATTTTTAAAAATTTACTTCGTTGCCATTAAAAGGAGGTAAATTTTAACGAAAATGAGTTTAATGGATGAAAGTTTTCCATACGATGAAATTTTGGAAGCTCAAGCCAAAGGTGAGTCTATAAATACTAATTTTGAATATTTATTAAGATTATATTTAAAAATTTTATAATTCATGTATGTTTTCAAATTGTATATATGCATTTGTTCAACCTTCGTTATGAATTACTTTAGAAGTTAACTATCAATTCAATTTTCATAATGATGGAATAAACAAGAATGAGCTCACAAAAAAGAAAAATACTGACCCAAAAAAAGAAAAAAAATTAAAGAGATTTCAGTCTGTTAATGATCTACATGCTAGATATTGTTCAACAAAATACAAACATGTCAATAGCAAAGTTCGTCAGTATATTAAAGAAATGGAGGCGGGAAATAAAAGACAAAAAAGAAATAAAAAACTTTCTAGATTTAATTCATTTCCTGTCAGCACAAATGGACAATTACATGATAATTTCTTATATAAATCTTCAGATGATTATGATAAAGAAAATAATTTGTCATCGACAAGTACAGATGGTTTGGATTTTACAAGTTTAGAGAATTTTTATCAGAATTATAAATTTAATTTTCCAATTTTAAATCGTAATGAATCTGATAATTCCCAAGATCATAATGAATCTGATAATGTTATGGTAAATGCTGAATATTTGAAAAAACTCAATTCAGAAATTAAGGATCTACGTTCCATGAATGAATATTTACAAACGAATTTGGATAATAAAGTGGCGCAAGTGACTAAATTAAAAAGGGCCAATGATGCAATGCAAATTGACATTGTAAATTTGCAGGATGAAATACGTAATCATCAGCGACATACTCTACCAGAATCATATATATTATGGGGACAAGGTAAATCTACTCAATCTACTCAGACAGATGATAAGATTACAAATAAAATATTGAAACAACTTAATGCGTTTGATGAACGTCATATGAGTGAAGCATTTTTATTTAATCTTATATCCTCAAATGATTCAATAATGGAAAATTGTAATGTTTTAAGAACTCCAGATTTAAACAGAATTAAAAAATCTGCTAAAATTGATGAATACAGTGAAAATAGTGATTTTGGAAATAGCCCACTTAAAGAACAAAATATTGATACTAACAATAATAATCAGTTGGATGTTAACTACGACCAAAAAAAATCCCCGTCAAATTTGAGATTACGTTCAAATTCGAATGATGCCGTAAGTATTGTTCAAAAATTTTCAAATACATTACCTGTAAATATGTAAATCATAGGATACATTTAATATAAAAAAAAATTATATTTAGATATCTCTAAATAAAATAAAATACAATCCAAAGATATCTTAATTATATATCGTACAATATCCTAAAATTTCATATTTTTTTAGAAAAGACGTGTAAACTCGGAAATATCTATTCAAATATCTCAACCATCACATATTTTATCGAATAATGGAAGTGACTCAGCTATTGAATCTGAAGAAGAAATCAATGATTCTACAGCTACAATAAATAGTATGCACCCCTTTATTTCAAGTTCCAAAATTTCACCAAATAAAAAAGATGGGGTTTCAACTAACGATACTAATAAAAATAAATCAAACAAAAATCGGAAATCAAAAAAACAAAAAAAGGTAAAAATTTTTAAAAAATCTTTCTGGAAAAGATTTTTAGGACCTTGCGCTGATTGTGGCGATGAAAAATCTGATACTTTAAATAATGGTAATATTTTGTATACGAAAGTGAATTTGTCTGAATCAACTTTAACTGAGGAAAATCACCCAAACTAATTTATAGTATAAAATACTTACTTGCGTATATACTTATATATTTTTATATTCCATTTTAAAAACAACTTTTAATATTGCTTTTTGTATTTATTAAATTTCAAATTTAAGAATAAGTTTCCACATTAAAATTGTAATGTTCAACTTTCTCAAATATATTGCAAGTAAAATATTTAATATGATGTTGAAAATCTTATAGCACTTACTTTAAACAACATGTTGTAGTACAAAGTTTCCGAAATTCGGATTCAAATATTTTCTTTAAAAACTAAATCATGAAAGAAATATAACAGAGACATCCTTTGTCCTTACAAATGATTATATTTAATTAAAATTGAAAAGTTTGTATATACGTGTTATATCGCATATAAGTTGATCTTTGAAAAACGCTGATTCAAGTAATCAGTTCTTCTGAAAAATATTTTATATTCCCCATGTTTCGGAATTCGTGGAAATGACAACTAGTATTTAAACTGTGTAAAAAAATATTTGAGATGCAGTTTTATAGATTTTTTATTAAGTTAATGAACTACTGATACGAAAGTATCCTTAAAACGTTTGAGCAATACTTTTAAAATTTTCCTTTTGCTATCCTTATTCTTTCTGATAAATAAAAAATCATTTTTTATTTATAAAGTTCATTTTTAAATTTTCCCTTTTAAAAAAAAGCTTATGTTTTGATTTTTTTTATAATCTGAAAATTTCGTCCTTATAAATAAGAAATTGAATGTGAAGCTCTGAAAGCTTTTAAATAAGTAAAAAAAAATTCGAATTTATTAAAATTTTGCTTGAAAAAAAAATAAAAGTTTCGAAATAAGGAAACTTCCATATATTTTGCGCATATTATATTTTTATACCCTGCACTTCGTGAAGGGTATATTAACTTTGGTATGGAGTTTGTAACTACTTGAAGGAGTCATCTGCGGTATGGACATATATATATATTCTTGCTCAGCGTAAAATTCTGAGTCGATTTAGACATGTCCGTCCGATCGCACGATAACTCAAAAACGCATAATGCAATCGACACCAAACTTTCACAAGTTTTTTATTTTGTACCAAGGACGAGCCCTATTGTTATTGGACTAATTCGGACAACGGGTTCGGGTAGCTGCCATACAACTCAAAGAGTTTATTTTAAATATTTCAAAAACTAATAAAGGTATAAATATAAAATTTTGTATACATGTGTCCAATTATATTCTACACATGCTCTAAAAATTATAATGGGGTAGCTGCACCGGTTCGGGTGGCTGCCATACAACTCCAACAGCAAATTTTTTATATTCGGCAAAATAATAAAGTCAGATCCATGAAACTTGGCAGTCATGTGTCCAATTATAGGTCAAATATATTTCTGAAGTTTTAGAGGAATCGCTTGACAGGTTCGGGTACCTGACATACAACTCCAGAAGCAAATTTTAAATATTTAGGAAAATAATAAAGTCAGATTCATGAAACTTGGCAATCATGTGTCCAATTATGGCTCAAATATATTTCTGAAGTTTTGGTGGAATTGCTCGACAGGTTCGAGTAGCTCCCATACAAGTCTAAAAGCTTATTTTAAATATTTGGAAAAATAATAAAGTCAAATTCATGAGACTTGGCAGTCGTGTGTCCAATTATAGGTCAGACATATTTCTAAAGTTTTGGTGCGATTGCTTGACAGGTTCGAGTAGCTCCTATGCAAGTCTAAAAGCTTAATCTTAATATTTGGAAAAATAATAAAGTCAGATTCATGAAACTTGGCAGTTGTGTGTCCGATTATAGATCAAATATATTTGTGAAGTTTTGATGGAATTGCTTGACAGGTTCGGGTACTTGCCATACAACTCCAAAAGCTTATTTTACATATTTAGAAAAATAATAAAGTCAGATTCATGAAACTTGGCAGTTGTATGTCGAGTTATAGGTCACATATATTTCTGAAGTTTTGGTGGAATTGCTTAACAGATTCGAGTAGATCCCATACAAGTTTAAAAGCTTATTCTTAATATTTGAAAAAATAATAAAGTCAGATTCATGAAACTTGGCAGTTGTGTGTCCGATTATAGATCTGATATATTTGTGAAGTTTTGGTGGAATTGCTTGGCAGGTTCAGGTACTTACCATACAACTCCAAAAGCTAATTTTAAATATTTGGAAAAATTATAAGGTCAGATTCATGAAACTTGGCAGTCGGATGTCCAATTATGGGTCAGACATGTCCGTGAAGTTTCTATAGAATGATTTTAGAGGTTCAAGTAATTGCTACACAATAACGAAAGGTGCAGGGTATAATTCAATCGGTTTATACCGACTGAAACGTTTTTACTTGTTTAAATAATTATTTTGTTTGACAACCAACCTATAAAAATTGCGAGGAAAAAATTTTTTGTCTATCTGACTTTGAAAATTTACAAAATTTATTTAAAATTTTACAAAAAATTTTTGAAATTTTATATTTGAACTTTTTTATTTTTTGGTTTTCCTACCGGAACACGCGCATATTAAATAATAAATACGCGCATTATACGTATTTATTTCAAAATTTGACCGCAAGTACGAAAAATTATTTTAATTTGAAAAATTTGTACGTACACACACACTACCTCTTGCGATCAAATTAAAAATCCTTGAGAACATATTTCCATTTGAACTTCCTAAAATGTCCGGTGGCGGAGTTTTAATATTGTTATAGTATCAATCGCTAGGTGGTGCTGGCCGCATACATTTTTAAAATGATTTTCCTAAGAAATTTGACGTATAGATGGCACTAAGAAATCTAAATTGAAATTATTAACTTAAACAATTGTCACTAGAATGCATGCAATACGCATACGTGATAGAATATTATACGATATTTGATTTCCTGACACCAACCCAGTTAAAAAAAATTTAGTTTGAAAACGGACATGTTTACAAAACTACATCCTTAAAGATAGAACATTGAAGTGTTATACACGTATATATTTTTATCCAACACTTATTTCCGTAGAAGAAAATTTTTGCCTAGGGTAGGTAGAGCCCTAAACGTTATAGCCCCTCAAAAACCTAAAAATGATATTTTTTGAAAATTTCTTGCAATGACACCACAAAAATTTTTTAAATTATGCATACGCAAAAATCTAGTAGTAAGTTTCTTCTACCCGCCATTTGAAATACGTTGTTTTTCAAAATATTGATTTTGTTTTTTTTCTAGGCGACGAGATGTAGAAGCCTGAAATTTTAGTAAATTTTAGATATAACAAATAATTTATTTCGTTTGAGGAATAGTTTTTTCTACCTCCATTCTCTCTCAAGTTGTTGTCCCTCGAAATTTGTAAAATTTGAATTTTCGGTACGTTATATGTATTTCCGAGTTTCCGGAACCGAAACCAACAAAAAATATTATTACTTTTCTTAACTCACGCAATTACCTTTTGAATTCGTGCATTATACCAATGCCTCTTTCAATTTTTTCAATGGGAGTGCTGCAATTCATATATTATGCGTAACTGTAGTTGAGTATTCAGTGAGAATATATTTGAATGCTGTTTGATTGGTAAGTTTTTAAGTAGTTTTGAAACTACTCTAAGATTCTAAGAATCTTCATTGCTTGTTCTTGAAACCATTCGTCACGAAAGAATTTAAAACAATTTCTAATAATAAATTTTATGATTATTATGTACGAAGTATTGTAATCTAAACTATTTTGCAATATTCAAAATACCTTTTCCATCTGCTATATCATTGGTTTTACCAATTCATTCCTTAAAATTCATTGTGCAAACAATTAAGTAAACATGAATAATGAACACTTTTTCATAGAATGTTCATTTTCCAAAAAATATAAAGAAAAACTTCATTTTTGTACCCCGTTTTTTAATATGAATTCATTGCTGAATATGTAAAGACTTGAATGTGTGGGTGCATACAAATGTATGATAATAGTGTGAATGTATTAAGGAATCTCATGGCTTATATCTGTTATGTTTATATGGTTTTATCAATATTTCCTGTTAAAATTTTACATTTTTCGGTAATGTAATTTTACTTATTGCCATGAGATTTTTGTTCGAAATACTGTACTATGGTAGATACATTACGAGGATAAAGGATGAATAAAAGAGTACTCGAATAAAAATAGTAACAGAACGAAAACTACACCAAAGTTTAATTCATGTATGGAAATAGATTTACTATGTTATAAAATACAGAAAAAATTACTATATATACATTATTTATTTTAATTTTTCGGGTAGGTATATAAAAGCAAATTACAAACGTTTATGATACACAGAGTGGCTCTGAAAGTCATTTGACAAGGATTGAATTGAATGAATATTCATGGATACATAGTAATATTTGGTTTTGGTTTATATATACGGATAATTTATAAAATTCATATAAATTATTTGCATAATACACAACTTTGATATTACAGAAAGGTAGGAGTAAAGGTAAGGTAGATAGTAGCATAATGTATGTATATAATGCAAAATGAACTCACCTGTATATATGATATATATGGGTGCATTTGCATATTTTATAAAATTATTTTGAATTGCTTAAAAAATGGTGTATGTTTTAATTATTTTCTATTTCTTCTTCAATTTAGCTCGATACGTTCAGACTATTAATAGAAAGTATTTTAATATACAATTATTATACTGTTGTATTTTTAGTTATGTACACACACATACATATGTATATACAAAATGTATATATAGCTATATTGAATATTATATAAGGAAAATGTACCTTACATTGTAAAAATTATGTATGTAAATATATACCTATTTACATATATTTCTGAACATTAGGTAAATGTTCATGTAGGTACGTAGATATATAGGTAAATTTACCTGGAAATTGTAGAATTTCTTTTATATCCGATTAAATATTTGTTTCTTTTTTTGATTGTTGTACAATGTTGTTTTATGCAACATTTCTGTATGGAAAATGTTTTAAATATAGTGTTTGATTTGAGTTTTGTTTGCTTTTATTGGGTCAGCAGATCAAGTCACAAATATAAATGAATAATAATAAATGATATAAGGCAAAAAAAAAGGAAAAACGAAAATATGATAATAAAGTGGAAAAATTCTCGATTGTAATAAAAGTTGAAAACAAAAAAAGTAAATTAAACAATTTTTTTAATTTTTGAATTTAAAATCACCTTTTAAATTTCTTGTTTTTTCATACATG